TACAGCATTGCATGACTGAATAAATGTCAGTCAAAGTACCTCAGAGCTGAATACCGAAAAATGGCCTGGCCAGTAAGGGGGTGTAACAGCCGGTTAAAAGCCCTTCTAAACCCTTTGGTTGCATTAGTCTTTTTTTCCTATATTTTCACCTGGTGATCCTGCAAGTTACATACATTCTGTCCTAGAGTGACAATGATCACTGTATCTCTGAACAAGTAGCAATGACACCCTACGACAGGAACTGTGTTTGGACTACAGAACACCTTCCCCTCTTATCCAGAACATGAAGAGAGGTTTTCTTTAGTCCACAGAGTTTTCTAGGGACAATGTAACTGAATAGATTACAGCACAAGCAGAGAGCAAGTTATCAGCTGACAAGATTTCTGGCAGATACAACTGATATTTTTGCACTTATCAATAAGGTATAACAAATGAAATTTAATGGTAGATTTAACAGATAAAAAGAGACCAAATAAGAAAAGTTAATTGTCGGGTTTACATACCTTATAGGAACGATGTACAGTAAATGTGCAGCTGATGAAGGAGCCACAGATTGAAAGATTTTCCTTATCTTTTTCTATAAATATTTGGCAATGTAAACTGTAGATGTTACCAAATGAGATCGTCTTGCCTTATTATCATGTCTTAGGCTGGGTTCACACCTGGGCGTCCGGAATATGCGCGTTTTTACAGTGATTTGCGGTAAAAGAAATGCGCGACAATACGCGTCGCAAATAAGCCCCAAAGAACCTGTACTTCTTTGGGTGTAGGGCATTTTACAGCACGTTCCTACGCGCTGTAAAACGCCCAGGTGGGAACAATGCCCATAGGCAATCATTGGTTTTCACATGTTGAGCGTTTTACAGTGCGTAGGAACGCGCTGTAAAACGCCCAGGTGTGGACCAGGCCTTACACCAAGAGCAGATCACAATTTAGGAGCTGTTCATTCATAAAATCCCAGGAATTTTTAAAGTGAAATAAAATTGGACCCCAAAATGTTTACAATATTTGGAACCTGTGGTGTAGATCTACACTGGATCCCAGATGACTGCCCTAGGTTTTACTCTTTCTATATCTTTACATTTTTATGAATATGCCTTGTGATGTATATTTCATACTCAAGAGCATATATATGTAATAGATCACCAGAGAATGTTATGGTGTAAGTGACTTTTATTATTTTTGTCATTTATAAATGCACTCTTTGACTTTTTGTGAAAAGTGTACAATTGTATTTTTGCACCATTTTGTGCATGGTAAACAGAGTTTCAAAACAAAGATGTGGCATGCTCAAAATGAATATAGAGAAATTCCCACACTGCTCCATCTACTGTTCGATAACCTGTGATGTCACATTCTCAAATAATTCATCCCCTCACAGCTACCTCCTCATGTATCATTTCCCCCTCCTCTTTTAGATTGTAAGCCCCCAGGGGCAGGGCACTCCTTACCATCCTGTCTTGAATTGTAATGTAAATTCTTCCTTACATTGTAAAGCGCTGCGCAAACTGTTGGCGCTATATAAATACTATGTAATAATAATAATAATAATAATGTCAAGGCGCCTGGATAAAATGTAGTCAACTCTTGCTTTCTACTGCCCTCTAGTGGCACACTGATGCAACAACATCTCATTTACACGAGGGGGTGGATTGTTTGTCACAACACACGTCTGTAGATTTTATATTCTTTATTTTCTCAGAGCATTCATAATTTTGCATTTTTATGAAAATTGTTAATTTGCAGCTCACATATGAAAAGTTGCATTAAAAAAAAAAACAATTCCAATTTAATTAAGTTGTAAATGACCAATAAAAGATTGAGTAGAATTGTAAAAAAAAAAAACGTTTTATGAACGCTATATTTTCATCACGTATGTATTTTCAGCTGTTTCTGTAAAATGTACCTAAAAATGATTATTATATCACATTTTTTCTTTGCTTGTACCATTCTCTTGATTGTTACATTTGATATAAATGTTGTAAAAGCTCCCTTTAGTGGTCATCCATTGTATTCTACCGTAATCTGCCATACAACATTTTGCTCTGCCCGCCTCACCTGTGTATCTGAAGACCCCTAAAAGGTTTTTTATGGAGGAAATACAATGTTAATGCATGTTATGTAGAGGAAAGAATAACCATTTGCAATCAATGAAACTAGGAAATGTTGGCCAAAATGTTTGTCTTCTATTGATTGTGTTTAAAAACAGCAATCAATTGTTTAGCAACTAAGTGATTAAGTGGAATTTGATTTAAAAAAACATCTTGGCTTTTAACAGAAAGCATACAAAATAATCACAGTTTGTGGAATACTGAAAAAATAGCTTATGTACAACTGTGACAATGCAAACAACTAAATGAAAGCTGGACTCAGAAGTGACCTTTACAAATGGTGTACAGTAACTCTTATTTCTGTTTACTCCAAAGATTGGGTGGTGTTCTTCTATTCGCCATTCTATTTAAATATAATGACAAGTGTTCATTCAAAATGGTGAAAAATAAAACACAATCCTTTATTCCACCAATCAGTGTAATTTTCAAGTATAAACACTACTGCAACACCTATGAGAAGGTACATTACATAACCAATGCAAATTTACTTATGACATGTGTATGTAAATGGTAACCAGATATGGTTTTTTCTCCCACTCTGTTAGGCCGCAGGGGAATTTTCATGCATATTTGGGATTCCTGCGGATTGTTGTGGCAGGAGTCTCAGGTGTGCCCGTTTACATGCAGACACTTTCTTCGTTCGAGTTAATGACAGGGTTTTTCAAGGGCAGAAGGGATGCCACCAGGATTTTGGGGAGTTAAGCAAGGAAGAATGGGATAGAGCAATGGAAATAGTTTTGGACTGTTCACTGTCAGCTACACATAGATTGACACAATTATTTATTCGACACCGTGTATACCGCACACCAAAACAATGATTTCAATGGGGTCATAAGCAAGATCCCTCGTGTAAAAGGTGTAGACATTTAGAAGGCACATTAATACACTTATCATGGCGCTGTCCTAAATTATTTAGATATTGGGAGAATAGAAGTAAAGCAATAAATAAAATATATTCAATTAACCTGGAGATGGACCCGTGTATTTGTGTTCTGGGAATTTTGCCAGAGGATTTAGGCACAAGATCTCAGAAACTGTCCATCACTGGGTTGTTGTTTATGGCTAGAAATGGATATCACCTAGTCCACCAATCTAGGACAAAATAGCTGATTTGGAAAAGTTCTCCAATTCAGCTCACTTTCCAGTTCAGCTATGTTGTCATAGATTGTTCACTTCTCCAAACTCTTCACCCTTTTGTGAATAGACCCCATACTATAATTTGAGTACAATAGATAAGTGGATTTCATCATTTTTCTGATGGCATATCAATAGTATGATCCTAAGTGTTTTATTTATTTATTTTTGGATAAATGTTGCATGCTATATAATTTGGGAAATAATAAAGATAATGGAAGGAAGAAAAAAAAAAGTAACTGGGTGACAGTGGCAACGGCAGTCCACATGTAATCGTACATAGTACAATTACCTGGGATAGAGATACTCTCCCTGGATGCATCTGTATGGACACACCTGGGATTTCTTCGGCAAGAATCCGTAGGTTCTTGCCACAGGAATCCCTGAATGCAGCATAAGCTCCCTTGTGAATGGGGCTTTACTGTAGTTATATAGTCAATAGCTAGAAGATTCAGAATCCTGCAACGTCAGCAGATATGGGCCCACATTTACCATTTACATATGTAGGACTGTATAAATATGCAGCACACATATCAACACATCAAATATGCAATTATATAAACACATTTGCTTTGCACGTGGACACATTTTGAACACTAGATTTGAAGATAAACATCAAGCAGGTATAAAAGAGACAAATGAATGCAGCTCTGTAATCATTAATGCATCTTTACATCTATTTTGTAAATGAAAGCAGTGTGTGTACCTAAATTTGACCTCATATTAGCCTCTTGTAGTCTACTGCTCAGCAGAGCTCAGAGCAGGGGAAGACCTATAAAGGGTGAGGAGGAGACCTGTAAGTGACCATGAAACTGCAGCTAAGAAAGATCAGGTTTCCTCCCTTGCTAGGCAGGACTGTAACATGTGGCAGAGCTGTGTAAATCTCAGAACTGAATGGACAGATATATCAGGTAAAACAAGTCTCATATATGGATTTTATCTGCATATTTAGCTGTTTGTCTGGAGTTAAGCTTTAACATGTGACCTAACAGACTTTGGATTGTCCATGCAGGAGGGAAGGTTTAAATATTGCCAAGATTGTCAAGTTTTTTTGCAATATGAAGAAGTACATTAGCAGTGGACTGTTGATGACTGGAAAAACATTGTCTGGTCCAACAAATCCTGTTGTGTGAGACACCTATGTTTATGTGTTTGGCGCATTAGGTCACTGGCATGTTTGGCATTAGGTCACTGCATGACACTTGTGGACTAACCATGAAGTTTGGTATCTGTTAATAGAGCCAAAGTTAGTTTAACATCGTACTGAACAAGCATTTTATTTTTCTAGCTGGTGGGTATATATATACTGTATATTAACTGTTTTCTAGAGTGTTGCATGTCTTACATATATAACTGTGGTGACCTCCTACTAAAAAGGTGAACTGTATATCACTGCAGCATCAAATAGTTCATTAAGGTTTGGTCTGGATTATGTCAAGTGTGGTGACATCCAATGGCTGCTCTTAGCTTTGACCTTCGAGTTGTTCTGTTTTGTGGCCTTCTGAGTTCATGTTCTGGTTCAGCCAGATGACATCACAATATGCCTACAGAACGGTAGACTCAAAGGTTAAAAGATGACACCATGCATGGCTGCCTTTCTTGTGTGTTTGAGCACTCTGGTTCTGTGTATTTCATTAAGTTGATTTTAACCGACCATAAAAACACCCTGATTTATTAAAATAACAAGGACTTTGTGCAACATTCAATTATTATTTTTTCTGCGCAAATTAATCTCTCCATTACCTATGAGGCTGAAGGTAAGTATTCTAATGTGTAGCAGTTCAGACCTACTAGTAAGAGGACATGTTTTAATTCTTACACAGGTGATATGATGCAGAATAAGGCTATTTCATGGTATTTTTTAAGTACTATCGTAGTTGCATAGTGGTATGTTGTCATAGAGATAGGCCTCAGAGTTCTGTTGTAGCTCTTTGGCTGTACGTCGAGCTTCCCTGGCAATCCTCTGGAAGCGACGCAAAGAGAAAATGACAAAGATGAGCAGGATGCCTTGAACTACAATGAAAATGCAGAGACAGAGCTGAGAAACCAATGCAAGATTACAGTACCAGTATTGACAGGTGGTCACAAGTTCTTCCTCTGTTAGGTACATGATGACTCGCCCCTTAAGTGACTCTGGAGACTCACAGATAACATTTCGGTACAGTGATCTCTTCTGCTGTGCTTGCAGCCAGCTGCGTAAGTATAGGATATTACAATCACAGTGCCAGGGATTATGTTTCAAGTGAACCTCCCTCAGATTAGGAAGACGGTCCAGGAGACCATTTGGGATGGAGTTTAGGTTGTTCTGGTCAAGACGGATCACCTGTGTGGAAGAAGGAAATGATGCTGGAAGTGACTGGTCACCAAGGTTACTATAGCTGCAGTCCACAATGCCGGAACTACAGCTGCATGGAGAAGGGCATCCAGAGACCATGTGAAACATGGAGGCCAACAGAAGTAACCACCAGGACCCAAGCTTCATGATTATGTCTGAAAAGATAAACATTTCAGTTAATAATTAACAAGAGTGCTTTCTATATTTAAAGAAAACATCCAATCAATAAAAACAGCTATTCTCAAAGTGGATCTTTCACTTTACAATTCTGCATGAATGAATTCCTGTATAACAATATAAAGCAGCAATTTAACTTGTCAAAAAAATGCATTTTTTAGTATTAAAAATTAATCCTTGGGCTCCAGGCAAGTGGAGTCAGCTAGAGGCAGAGGTAAGTATTTCCTCAGTCTACTCTCCCCCAGACTCTCTGCAACATTGTAAATTTGTAGCAAGGCACAAAGCAGGAGCTGACCTGTGTCAGATATTTGTGAACACAGCCAAGAACTGCACAGGCACCACAATTTACATTTAATCATTACATCTCTGAGCTAGCATTTAAGTCCAGAATGTAGATGTTAATACTAGAGAGTGCCAGGACACCGATGACTCAGTCTGTCTAGGGAGAAAAGTAGATGAAGACATTGACCGTCAGCTCTGGGATAAAATGGAAGGCAAGGTAATGGATGGGATATATTTGTCACTCAGAATGACAATTGGGGGGTTCTGGGCTCCAGGTGAGGATAATAAGCCAGCCTTACTTTAAGAGGCTGATCGTAAAATTCTTCTGTTCTTCTGTGTCTGGATTTTGGGCTGCAGAAAAGATTGAGTGGCTCCTCAGCTTGGCTGTCATCATCCATATGTCTGCCTGCCAGAAAACTGTACCTGTCACTCTCCGTATAGAAAGGCTGAGAAGCCTCACAGAAAGAGGCTAAAGACTTTTTAAAACAACTCTGTGGATGGTGAACAGTCAGACTGTTTGGCTCTGCAAAAGCACTTGGAGGGTTCCCCAAGCAAAACTGTTGTTGAGGCTCAGTACTGCATGGACTTAGAGACATTTGCTAAAGTAAGCAGGGCTTTGTTTTTGTTATGCTGAAGAGAAGTATATTATCTCTAGTATGATAAAATAAACATGAAGACAAAGTGATCCACCATCTGAACATGTCCCCTGTAACAGTTGGTGCTGGTATGCAGGCAGTGAGTCCCTAAAAAGAGACATTTGATTTTAATGGGACAGGCACCTGTTTTGCTGTGAACTGCTGCTGCTCCTAAAATGGAGGATGTAGTGGAGGTGGCTACCTGGGTGCATCTGTGGTCTTCAGAGGACCCTAACCAACGTGTTGCAGCCCATCTGGAGATACAACATAGAGTGGGCCCTGGAAGCAAAGGAGTTAATTGACCTTATGCCCTGAGCTGGTGCAACAAGACCACAGAGCAGTGGCAAGCAGCCCTACCTATGATGGAGATGTACAGGCTAGCCATTCCCTCAAGAAGTTGATTCTACGGGACAATGTGGAAACCCTCCTCTACACTCTTGAGAGGATTGCCAAGTGGGAATGGTGGCCAAGGAGCATTGGGACAGGTATCACATCACATTGTCTCTCTGAGATGCCCAGCGAGCATATTTCAACCTGGTCCTGGAGGTGACTGGATTATGAAAAACTAAAAACAGTAATCCTCCATCTATGGTGATATGGACACTCAGATGCATGAAATAGTCCATCTTGTAAAAAGATGGCTCCAGCCAAAGCTATTGCCAGCAGCCCAGGTCACAGAATGGGAAACTGTGAACCACTTGGTCAGCTAGGTCACTTCACTGCCTCCTGTCCAAACTGTGGTGAGTCTATGGCCTGCAGCCTAAGCAGACACCTCTTCCTGTATGCCCAGAGTGTGTGTATTGTGTACTGAGACCAGCCTAGCTGTGTGGTAAAAATTGCCAAGAAGTCTACCCTGTCAGGGCTGTCTGTATCTATGGTGACAGTCAAAGGTACCCCATGCCCTGGGTGACTCTGAAAACTTTTGGGGGAGTGACCTATGAAGTGTCTGTGGTCCCTGGGTTACAACACAAAGTGATCATTTGAAGAAACTACCATTTGTTGGGAATTGGGGAGGATGCTTCCCTTATGTTTGCCCCTTTGTTGAGATGAGAAGTCAGGTGAGGTCTGTACCCCATAGCTAGGATTGACGGCCAGCTCAGTGGCAGATCTGGGGGAAGGGCAACAAGGCAATTTTCACAGGGGGATGTAGGGACATTTTTATGAAAACCTAGGAGCAGCACCTCAATGAGTAGCAGGTGTGGGCCGCGGGCCACCAGTGTGCCCAGGGACTGGCCCAGAGCTCCTTCGCACAGAGGACCAGGATACGGGACCCAGCACCAGTCCGCTATAGATGATGGTATTGTGCATTGCTATATAATGTATTGCTGAGATTTGTAGTCCTCTATAGATGATGGTATTATTCTGCATTGCTGTATAATGTATTGCTGAGATTTGTAGTCCTCTATAACTGATGGTATTATTCTACATTGCTGTATAATGAATTGCTGGGATTTATAGTCCTCTGTAGTTGATGGCATTATTCTGCATTGCTGTATAATTAATTGCTGAGATCTATAGTCCTCTATAGCCGACAGTATTAGTCTGCATTGCTGTGTAAAGTATTGCTGGGATTTGAAGTCTTCTATGGCTGACAGTATTATTCTGCATTGCTGTATAATGTATTGCTGGGATTTGAGGTCCTCTATAGCTAGTGGTATTCTGCATTGCTGTATAATGTATTGCTGGGATTTGAGGTCCTCTATAGCTAGTGGTATTCTGCATTGCTGTATAATGTATTGCTGAGATTTGTAGTCTATACAGTGGCAGAACTACCAGAGTCACACAGCTGCAACTGGGCCCTAGCATTCTGCCACTTGGGGGAGCCCGAACAGGTGGAAGAGGGCCTTGGTAACCGCCAACATTGCAGGTTACTGGGCCCCCCTTCCTTCAGTCTGGCGTGGACCATGTGTATCACAAAGCTCTACAGCAATAAAACTCAATAGTGTCCAGTGTCATTACCCATTTTAATGAGAATAATGTGCCATATATTGTTTGACAGAGATCTCAATCCTGCCACAAATGTGTCAGGATGTGTAAAAAAAAAAAAAAAGGCACAATTGCTGTTATACATAACATACAATTGAAACATAATGTATTATTACGCTATTCTGTTCTATAAGCAACAACTTATTTTCTAGCAGTGCCCCTCCCAGGACTGGACTCTGGATCCGGCTCTGGCCCAAGGTAGATTAATTTATAGAAATGCTAGGGCAGGCCCAATTCATATCCATTCTGGACCTGTCTAATGCATACGACCAAATCCTTCTCCTCTTCTCTTTGACAAGGTCAAATAAAAGGCTGCTTTTGCCACTCCAGAGAGATAATGCAGTATGTCTGCATGCTGTTTAAGACCCCATTCACACGTAGCGACATACCTTTTGCAGCGGATCCGCACGGCCGGGATAGCGCGACTTTCGGGGCAACGTTCCAGCGACGATCCAGCGACGGTAGCGCGACCTTCTCTGTCGGCTCCATAGAAAAAGGGCAAAATCCGCCGAAAAAAGGGTCCGGTAGAAGCGACTTGCGACCGCGACGACCGACGAGCGACGCGCGACATGGAGTTAAGACAGCTCCATTGAATAGCATTGGCCGGCGACTTCTCGCGATATCGCGCGGCAAAAATGCGCGATATCGCGGCGGAAATCGCGCGATAATTCGCTACATGTGAACGGGGCCTAACTTGCACAGAGCCCCCACAACATTTCAAAGAGATCACTTCGGCCATAGAAGAACCACTTCGGCCGCTACCCAGACATGTGGCCATTTTAAGTACAGTCTGGGAAAGTAAACCCACCAGAGTTCAGGTGGTCTTGGATGCCATATATGAGATGGTGTTGAGAGTCAATCCCAAAAAAAATATGCATGGAGGAAGCCTCGTATTTGGGATGTGGCTTTGGTAGGTCTTGTTAAACTACAAACTAACTAAGGAAGGGAAGGAAATTCTGCAATTCTGCCTGTTTACAGATCACTTACAGCTCAAGTGGATGTGCCAGACAAAAGACATAAATGCCCGTGTAACACAGTGGTCCTATCCCCTACCGCTAGCCTGCAGCTAATCCTAAACAACGCTGCTGTCTCTGAGAGAGCAACAATCTCACTGAAGCAGTCAGACCCCCTCCCCATCCAACTGCTGAGTCAGACTAATAGTTCTGCAATCAGCAGGGAGTGTGAACTGAGTAGTCAGTTTAGTAAATTCAAAGATTACATAAAAACTCAAGTTTTAGTAAACCTGGTGTAGGGTCACACAAAGCTATGTAGCTTCACATCAGTTACCCTGCATGGTACCATTAGTGCTGCTGCCCACCAATGCTTTTATGAAAACGTTTAGGTATGAGGGCCAACATGCACGTTCCCCTCCACAGTATCACTAAAGTTACTGTGTGTCACTGCAGCTGTGGGTGACCCTGAAATAGGTTTGGTTTAATCAAAAGAAAAAATGTTTCAAAGAAAAAGCAAAATGGAATTATGTGCATATGCAGGGGTGTAACTAGAAAGTGCAGGCCCCATAGCAACAGTTTGTATGGGCCCCCTCCCAAGCAAACCACGCACTGGCTTGATTTGAATGGGCCCTTAGGCTCCATTCACACATTGGCGGTTTTCCATGTGTATTCATACGTGCATAAACGCGCTAAACATGAAAATCACACTGCACGTAGCGCAAAAAAGGCCAAGCACAATATTCTGGGCGGAACTTCAGAAGGGCCAACTTTGAGAAGCTGCGCAACCTAGTGGGGGAAATAAAATGGGAAAACTTATTTCAAAACCTAAACACAGACCAGATGTGGGATTGTTTTAAAAACACAGTACATACTGCTACTTCAAAGTGTATACCTTTAGAAGTAGCCGCAAACGTGCAGAATAGGCGTGTATGTTAAAATTTGCACGTTTACGTGTGTGAATGGACACTAACACTGCCACACCAATGAAAGCTGGGGAAATGGGGGGGAGGGGCGGTTATAATCTGTAACCACACTTTCCCCAGCTTCACTGGGGTGGCAGTGTTATTTTAGGTTATAAATACACTGTCACACTAGAGAAGGATTACACAGTGCAATTTAACCGTCTTTCCCGAGTTTCTTTAGTGTGGCAGTGTAATTATACCTTAAAATAACACTGCCACACCAGTAAAGCTGGGAAAAGTGAGGTTACAAATTATAACCTGGTTAGTGTAGAGATTACAACATTGCAGCCATCCAATAACTTGCCATTAACCATTTATTTGCCCCAGCCCACCGTCCCCTTCCTGCACCATCTCCATCTCCTTCTGATGTCAGGCCGAAGTCAAAGCCGGAGAGTAGATCTCTCCACCGCTGTGCTGTTACACTAAGCTGGCTGGCAGGAGACAGAGGAAAACAGTTCCTTGCGGCCGCAAATGCAGAGTGGTGCATGGAACTAAGAAAAAGAAGTACCTCAGCCCTGCTCCTGACTGGGCCCCCCTTTGCCCCGGGCCCCATAGCGGCGGCGTGGGTCGCTATGGCGATAGTTCTGCCACTGTGCATATGTCAAAAAATCTAATTTGTACCCTTCCCAAAGATCAAGAAAAATACATAGCATTATATTTATACATACAAGGTATTATTTTTGTCATAGTCTGATAAGTATGGAACTGAAATTCTTTAAAACTATGCTATCTAGTAAATATAAAATTATTTAAATATATCCCAATATTAGCATGGTTATTCAATAAACAGTTCATGTATTAAAGTGGAAAGTACTGTGCTCACAGAAACTAATCACCTTGTACTGATACCTATATGTTCGGATGATGCTTTATTGGTGTTAACCCTCTGAGAAAGGGTTAGAATATAGTAAAAGGCATATCTACACCATAATAAAGGGCATATCTACACCATAGTAAAGGGCATATCTACACCATAGTAAAGTATCTACACCATAGTAAAAGGCATATTTACACCATAATACAAGGCATATCTACACCATAGTAAAAGTAATATCTAGACCATAGTAAAAGGCATATTTACACCATAATACAAGGCATATCTACACCATAGTAAAAGTCATATCTAGACCATAGTAAAAGGCATATCTACACCATAGTAACAATTGGGTAATAAGTTGTATTATGATGTAATTAGCAAAGACAATTTTGTATTAAACCCATAAACAAATTCAATAACTGACAAAAGCAGTGAGACCTACCTCTACACAAGGCAGATTTCCCAGTCCCGTGGACCCAGTCACTGCGCTGGTGATGACACTGGTAAGCCTAAGCTGAATGATAACAGCAGCAGAGTGTAACAGTATGATAAGAACATAGAAACGTCTAAGAGAAGAAAAGCAGGAAACCAAGCTTAACTCTTTACCGCACAAGACACACCCATACTGCACGTCATAGCATATTTAACAAAGTGGTAGATGATGATGTTGGTCACAAGGATACATGAAAAAATAAATATATATTTATCATCCAGTATCCTTGACCAGAGTCCAGTGTCATCTAAGTCTGCCTTGAAAATATGGTTAACTATAACCTAAGATGTTGGCTCAGGACCTCATCTTTTCTGTCTGACTTCAGTGGCCATCAATATGATAATAATGATAATTATGATAATGCTACTGATGCTTCATATGGTATATTCCATTATTTACTCTGCTAACTTTGATTGGACATACTTTATCTCCTATTGCCGTATATATAATAATTTGTGTTCACACTCTATATGTCCTATATCCATTGTTATATAATGTATCTCTGTACAAACCATTTTTAATACACATCCTTATGCATTAGATTATTGTATGTGCTGCCTTCTACCCTTAATTATACAATTGCATGAACCCAGAGGAGCAGCATGACTTCCAGGTTTATTCTTTGAGAAAGCACTGTGCCTAGCAAGAAACGTGCTCGAATAACTGTTTGTTCCTGCTGGCTGCTTAATAAAGGAAGAATATCTTTTTGTATATCAGTGTGCGGTGTTCCTGTTGTTGACATTATTATTGACGGCTTCCAGGTAACTTGCATGTTAAGGTGGTCAGTAATGGCAGCCTAAGTATATTTATCTTTCCAGTTGCTTTATTGATATCATTTCATTATTTTCAGTTTAGCTGAAGGTGTTTTGTAGATTTCTGGTCTTAGCAAGGAGCATCACATTAGAAATTGGAATTACCCTCCTTAATGGAACAGCTCTCCAGAATTATTTGTCAACTATTTGTGGTTGTTGGAGGAAAAGCATCAGTTTCTGGACTCTGCTGATAGCACAGTAATTTGGCCTGTCATTTACAGAGTGACCACATCTGACAGCAAAAACCACTTATGACCAGCTGAAGCGTCATTCTACCGAAAGATACAGTATTTCTAATTAAATATAACGATGTAACTATTGTTTAATTAATTTGGTAGTTCTGCTGTTATATAAATAATCATGGAACATGTCTACTGTAGCCACAGCTGCCTAGTGCCTTGAAATTTTGGTTGAGTTTGGTTTGTGTCATCTGGGGTTGTCTTTTTTATGAATTATTTGCAAGAATGTTTTTTTCTTATCCCTTGAGGGACACAGGCAGTTGTTCTCCTTAGAGTTATACTGCCGCCTACAGTAGGATTGCCCTGTCCCTGAATACTCACTTTGTGAGTGGACCGGTCTGGCTGAGCACCGAGACCAAGTTCAAGTATATAGGTCACTGGGTAACTTTAACATTTTTCAATGCCTGCTGTTTTCCACCGCAGAAGGGGTTAATGCTGTGGGATCGAGTGCTGACGTCATCCACTGGGTATAGTGTCAAATGCTTTGCGACTTCTTTACCACAATAAAGCATTGGGGAAGCATTCCCCCAAAGCTCCTCCTGCTTTGCAAAGAGCCACAAAGAACCCCCAAAGCTCCTCCTGCTTTGCAAAGAGCCACAAGGAACCCCAAAAGCTGCTTCTGCTTTGCAAAGAGCCACAAGGAACTTCTAATCCATTCCTGCTACCCATCTACAGTGACTTTGGTCACCTCTGTTCATGCAGCGTACCTACTGATGCAGGTCTGCAATCTGGAATCATGTTGCCACCTCCAACTGGAGTCTATCCCATCTTCAGAATATTCCCCAGCTCCTTTGGGTGTGGCCAACTTCAGTGACTCGTCTGATTTTGTTTCTTTGTTTATCATCCCAGATGGTCCCTGTAAGGCCCCGTTCCCACTGCGCGATATGCAAATCGCGCGTTTGTTGCGCGATTTGCATATTGCGCGACATCGCGAGATTTGCAGCGCGATGTCGCGTTCAAGCTTGCATTGAGCAAGCTTGAATCGCGGCTAGATCCGCTCCAAAAAGGGTCCTGCTGTAGCGACACACGACCCGCGACAGCAGGACCCTTTGCCCCATTGGATTGCTTTGGAGCGCGATATCGCGCGGTAATTTGCCGCGATATCGCGGGAATTACCGCGCGATAAATCACTCAATGTGAACGGGGTCTAAAGGTAGACCTGCTCCTCTTTATACTCTCTCTAGGGGGCTCAGGCAGACCATTATCCAAGCTTATGGTTCATGGACTGAGTTCCACCCTCTCCTGTCAATGCAAACTCTGCTAGATCGGTAAATGTTTCCTAGGTTTTTGGCATCAAACAGCTGTTTCCCAAATCTGCAAGGCTGCCACTCAGTCCTTTGTTCACATGTTTTCTACCAGGTGGATGTTGAGACATCATCTTATGCCAGCTATGGGCAATGGGTCCTTCATAGATGGCCCTATGAGCGGTCCCCAGTTTTCTTTTTGTTTTTATGGGCCTGTTAGCAATTGTTTGCCCACCCCTCAATTGGACGTTCCAATTTTAAATGACTTCTTGTGTTCCTCAATGTAGGAGAAAGAAAATAGCATTTCTGTACTCACCATGTCCCAGTCCTCTGTGCTTATGATCATGCTCTTAGTACTGCATGCTACAAAACTACAAAAGGCATGCTTTGTAGGAGGAGCAATTAGCCTGGGCTGGCCTACAGTTTTCTTGTTTGCCAGTGTCCAATCCTACTGTAGGTGGCAATGTAAGATGAAGGTGAATGCCTTCCTGTGTCCCTTAATGGGATCCAAGAGAAGGATTTTACGGTGAGTACTAAAATCCTATTTTATTAGTCATCTTGTCCAGTGTTTAGGACTTTCCCTACAGTTTCTTTATCAGTTCAGGTCATGTCATTTGATGATTATGAGGAAGCGTTAACTTCTTCCTTATTCATTATGCATTTGATAACAATTGACCCTAACTGTTGTTATTTATTGTTATACCCTTTAAAGCGGACCTTTACACTCACAAATCTAATTCTACCAATGCATCCCTCAATGTATGATGATTACTAATAACATAGACATGTCAGGTGTAAAATGCTGTGATTTTGAAATACTTACACTTGCAGAGCATTCACTTCCTGCTTTGAAAGGGCAAAATGACTTCAGTTTGCCAAAGCAATACACACTGGGATTGCCTTGTCATCAGCAGAGCATTGCTGGGAAGTCTCATCTGTAATCTCATGAGATCTCAGGGAAAGGTATTTTCCTCCCCCGGGATGATGTGCATGGTCACATGTCCTAGTCACATGTGCCAGAAATCTAGGTAGAAAAATGAGAGCTAGTAATCTGCCCTTAGTAAACATGGCCACTGTCAGAAGACTGGGAAAGAAAAGAGAAATGAGGTATGGAAAGAATACAAAGCCGACAATTATCTAGAAGTATCTGTCTGTAGATTGTCATTACTAAACATTTCCAAAGGCGTGTTTGTTGTTATTTTAAAGATATGGGTAAAGGTCCATTTTAACCAGGATTCCTCCTGGCCAGGCTGGAATCTGTAAAGTTTCATACATTTTTCTTTTACCAAGCAGGAACAACAAGCATTTTGGAATTGAAAGCTGGAAGTGATGTCACATCTTTCACTTTAACATGGTAGCCAGTGCACTTGGTACTTTGCATGGCTCAGTGTTTCCTTGGTTTTCTGAGCTGTCCTAGATAAGCCAGGCTAGATATTACAAACTATAAGCAATCGCTTTCTATAAATACAAGTGTGTCTGCTTTGTGGTCTTTTGCTCTCACCATTGCACATGAAACTAATAAAATGCTCTTGGCAGAGTGAACTTTCTACATTGATGTCTAATCCTACTGCAAATCAGTGCTGGAGAGTTCAGCTTAGTGCTGTTCCTGTCTCCATTGCCAAGAGCCCAGTTCCACTTTTGCAGATGTAAAAGGAATGAGGGACATTTATCAAGCAGCCTTGGTAGCAGGGTGCACATGGGAAGGCTTACAACAATACAAAACACAAAAAGAATCCCCAGCAAACCTGCCAGCTAGCCTGCAACAAAACTAGTTACCTTGTCAACAGTATGTGTTAAAAACAGAGGTTTTAGTTGCACAAACCTTTGTTCAAAAATATATAGAAGCCACACTGCCCCGTCAAGGCACCTCTGTAAAGTGTGGTCCTAACTCTATTTATGAGTCTCCATGTTGGAGCATATTAATGCAGTCGATAAATTAAATGCAGGTGTACCTGGAGGTAGCCTACTCCTCCTCCTGTAAAGTGTGGTCCTAACTCTATTTATGAGTCTCCATGCAGGGATGCACTGGAGGCCCAGCACTCCAAAATGCACGCTGGGTCCCCCAGTGCGTCCCCACATCAAATATAGTCAAACTAGGAAAGAATGGTAACCGCATAAATTTATAACCAGCCTTGGTAGCAGGGTGCACATGGGAAGGCTTACAACAGTACAAAACACAAAAAGAATCCCCATCAAACCTCCCAGCTAGCCTGCAACAAAACAAGTTACCTTGTCAACAGTATGTGTTAAAAACAGAGGTTTTAGTTGCACAAACTTTTGGCCAAAAATATGTAGAAGCCACACCATCCCCCGTCAAGGCTCCTCTTCCATTTAATTTATCGACTGCATTAATATGCTCCAACATGGAGACTCATAAAAAGTTAGGACCACACTTTACAGAGGAGCCTTGACGGGGCAGTGTGGCTTCTACATATTTTTGGCACTATGGTTTGTGCAACTAAAACCTCTGCTTTTAACGTATACTGTTGACAGGGTAACTCGTTTTGTTGCAGGCTAGCTGGCAGGTGTGCTGGGGATTCTTTTTGTGTTTTGTATACATTTATCAAGCAACTCATCAACACAATTAGACACAAATCAGGCTGCCTGGAATCTGAGGCAGCAAACTGAGACAGATTTGGCACTGAAACTAGAAATAGAGAGTGGAGACTCAAAGATTCTACTTTTTTTTTTAGCATATTTACTGGTGACGTCCCTCAATTAAGAGAATGGCCTAAGAAAAAATTGGGGGACTTTAAATTGA